AGTATTATTTTTAATTATCTACTGAGATAGCTTGTTTTAGAAATAAGCCAGGATAGAAAAGTATTAATTAAAAGTAATGAGTAATCACAAATGTATTTATATGTTCAGTAGTATGTCTAAATATATCTTTCTTAAAATAGCACTGACTATTAAAAATTTGTAAAGTAATACTGGTTAACTATTAGGAAAATATTATGAAACATACAACTTTCCATAGACTTAAATAGTGTAAAACTTAAATAAACTTTACTAAGATTACACTAAAATATTAAATGTACGTTTATTACGCAATATAGAGGCACACTCCTGTATAAGGCAAACCAACCAAGAATCAACACAACAGTAATTCTGCCTTCAGAAGCCAAATGCTGTAAAGATACCATTTGAGTTTTAAGACCCTCTAACTGTTTATATTGCGGGAAGAAAGCGGGAGAATATTCCTAAGTTTGTAATATCATTATTCTGACATTCAATGCTCTGTAGTCTTTCCGAATACCTCTTTTATGCAAGCACTCCCCAAACTGAGCCACAAATGAGCTGCGAGGCCTAAGTTAAACATTTAAAAAAGCCAAGATATTGACCTGGTCAAAGACCAAAATGAGAAACTTCTCACTGCTTGTTTAGTTTACATGTACCAGTTAAGGAAAGCAAGAGAGAGTTTTAAAGCAGCGCCATAGTTTGTGAGAAGAGAAGTTAATTTTACCTTCTCTGTATCAGGGTTGTGGTTACTCCAAGTAACTTCCCAGCCAGTTTTACAGTTACTCATTTTCCTTTGTAAACGAGAAACCAAGCATTGATTCTAGAGCATCATTTCAGAATCATAGCTTTTAATCATCCATTAGGGTATACTATGGAAGATATTTTATGGAGGATGAGGACTGGTTAAATGAAATTATATTTTAATAAAAATGTTATTTATAAGAAGAACTTGAGTTTTTAATTACACACAATATAAGACATAGGAAAGATGAACTGTAAAAATCTCTGTCCCACTGGAAATCTTTTATGGGAGTTGCTAAAAAAGATCAATTAGTTTTCTGGGTTTTAGTCTTTTTTCCTGCCTAGAGATCTATATTGAGTAAAGACAGAGAAGAGAAGCAAAACAGATGGTAGCCAGCTTACGCAGAAGTGGAGTCGCCATCTGAAAAGGGAAAGAATGGCCCACAGCACTGTTACAATCAGAAACAAGACTGCCTACACCCTGCCTCAGGCTCTTGTTTTATGGAAGCAATCCCCATCCCTACACAAACCCAGCACCTGCTTCACACAGGTATTGCTCCGTCCTCACCAGCAGGTGTTACACATATTTCACACCACATCTACTGTTAAGTCTCCATGGTCACTGCCGCCAACTGAGAAACTTCAGATACTGTTTAGCCGTGGAGTTAGGAAACACGGCCAAATGCATTAGGCAAGCCTAGAGCCTACAAGGCAATTCAACAACAGAGCTGAGCCAAGAACAGATTGCCTAATTCCGAGTCCAAGGTTGACTTGCTAGACCTAGATTCCTAAGTGCAAATATGGCTATGCAAAACTCTCCCATTTAGAACTTTTACAGATGAGTCAAGTGAGGAACAAGCACAAAAACATGGTAAGATGCATTTACTGTCTGGTCTTATGTCAACAAGGACAACAGTAAAGTTCTGGACAACCTCACACTCTATTCCTAACAGTTTTCTGTATAACTATCTTAACAGCCTACTTGTTATAACTACGTTGGTGATAGAACCTGCCCACTTGTTTGTAACATTCGTGCTAAGGAGGTCTTGTCCCTCTCAAGTAGGAAAAGGATTATTAGTCATATTTTCACTTGTATATTACTTCCTCTTTTTGTCATTCAATTAGGCAGTTAAGTAAATGTTTTTCAACAAAGGACAATTGCAGTTGGCATTCTTTTTAAGAGAGGAAAAAATGAAGGCAGATGAGATGAATCTGCAGTTCCTGATGACCACTCTACCCAGAGTCCAAGACCGGCGACCACATAAGGCCATGTGCGATACCCAATGATCATTCTGAGAGCGTGGAAACAGGAATGAGGAGTGGGATATCAACGTCTAAGTGTGTTAGGTATAAGTGTTAGTGAAGGTATAAGTTTCAGTCCAATTCTAGGCAACACATAAGCTAAAAAGGAAGTTCAGAGAACCACGTGATTAAGAGAGCTTGAAAAGACAAACAAAAACAAAGCATAGGCTTAATGTAGATATATGTGTAGGTATATACAGCCGTGGATAGGCACTAATATTCATATTTATCTTCTATACATATACACTAATAAGGACAGGTATTTTAAAAAATGAGTATCAAACACCATGTTTTGCATTATTTCCCTCCTAATCTGTATAGTCATTTATGGAATCCCAGGCTCTTAGGACAGGCCAGCAAACATCTTCATTTCTAAGAGCCCTCATTCCTTGGGAGAAAGGCTAACGGGGACTTTGCAACTCACTGATGGTCAGGTCCCCAAGACACCAAAGGAAAGACAAAGGCTGCTCTAATTTGGGGAGAGGGCACTAGGGAATCAGAGACAGCACCAAACATAAGAAATAAATAAGCAGTTGAAAATAAGCAGTTTGGCTCAGTGGATAGGTTCTGGGTTCGATTCCGATTAAGGGCAAGTAACTTAGTTATGGGCACATCCCCAGTAGGGGGTGTGCAGGAGGCAGCTGATTGATGTTTCTCTCTCATCAATGTTTCTAACACACTCTCTCTCTCTCTCTCTCTTTCTCTCTCTCTCCCTTCCTCTCTGTAAAAAATCAATTAAAAAAAAATATATATATATATATTTTAAAATAAATAAATAAGCAACACCTTCGGTGCAAGCCCCTCGGCAGGGAAGACTGCTGATTCTGGGAGAAATGCTTCTCACTGTGAGTGGCCCAGGCCAGCCCTGGGGCAGTTTTCTAATTCCGGCCAGAAGACAAGGAAAGGTTAGCAGCAGCGGAAGGGAGCAATGCTGGAGGGCCAGGGGGAATGCAGAGACCACTAGCAGCCTGGGCGTTTGAGGATGCTGAAAGAACTGTAATCTCCAGGGGGGATGTCTCCGACCAATGTGGCACCAGAGTCAGAAGGTGGGCACCTGCAGTGGCAAGAGCTGTGGGACGAGCCAATCAAAGAGAAACACGGAAGAATTGGGGGCCCACGTGGAGACCCAGACAGACCAGCACTGGCTGGTGACTCCAGCTGAAAAATTCCCGGGTTCTCACCTAAGTCCCGATCCCCAAGTGCTGGCACTGTCATCTCTCCTACACGTATGTCAGGGAATTGGGGTAACAAGGGAGACCTCCCTGCCCACGAAGCTGGGCCAGTTCTCTGACTTTTTGCAACTGTGAGTTAGAAGCCCAGCTTCGAACATGTTAAGGAAACCCTGCTCAGTAACCCGTGTTAATGAAGAATGGGTGTGTGATGGGAAGAAGCCTATGCAAGTCCATGGGCATCCAGACCCATCCAGGAAGCGCCAGGGAGGAGGTGTTAGGGGTTCCCACAAGGGCCTAACATCTGGCTCATCAGAAGGTTCCTGACAACTTCATTTTCTGTGCATGCAAATAAACAACAATAAAAAAAGGATGTCATAATATTGGCTTTCCTGAAACTCAGATATATTCTAAAGAAATTAGAGCGACATCTGGCTAATTTATTTCTATTTGCATCAGAGTGCTTTCTTAAAAAAAAAAAAAAAAAGAGAAAGATAAATTTGTTGTTTCACTTATTTTATGCTTCATTGGTTGATTCTTCTATGTGCCCTGACCCAGGATCGAACCTGCAACCTTGGCATATAGGGGTGAGGCTCTAACCAACTGAGAACCCAGGGCCCAGAGTACTTTTTAACAGTCAAGTCTAAGTCAACAGCTGAGAGATTTAATACTTTGTCTTCCTCAGACCCTGCCAATTCAGAAAGTAGTCTTGCAGGCAAATGTTTGACAACTACACCAAACAGAGTTGAGAACTTTTAAATGGTTAACTGAAAAAGACTGAACAGGGTGCAGTCTGTACTTAATTTTTCAACAATATGGACCTCCTTCAAAATCTAGCCTATGTCTCCTGTAACTTAGCAAGTCAATCAGGATCTCACCTGATCAGCCTGCATTTTCAATTACCCTCCCCACTACAATCAATGCATAAGCCTTATGTCTTCAACATTTATTTGTATGAAATGCAGAAAATAACGGCTAGTAAAGCCCTAATTGTGCATCAGAAGCTATTGTGGAGCGAAGGGGGAGATAAGGGAAGAAATTTAACGGAGTTCTGGTTTGATTGCTATTCCAAATTCAGACTTATGTAAGAATTACTGGGTTGTGGGATGAAACATACATCTCAAAAACTTTGTATTTTTTTCTTTCTTTTTTTAAGCCTACTCTGCAACAGCAACATCCATGCAAAGGCAATTTTTTAAAAACACGCTTTGCAAACCAAAATAAAACCCGACAGCCGAATTTAGAAATAACAACAATATGCTTAAAAGCCGTCACTGACAGCAGGATCCGCAAGTGCACCTTTGCTTCTGCAGCCATTTTTTTATTTTTTTTATTTTTTTAGTGGCATAAGTTTCAGTTTGGGAGAAGTTCACAGGTTACATTTCGTAGAGCGCTAACTCTGTTCTGGGCGAAAAGTGCCGAACTTCAGGGCCACGGCCGCGGGCCGGGGGCGGCTGCCGAGGAGCGGGCGGCGCGGGGCGCGCTAACAGGTCTCCGCGGCCCAAGTTCGCCGACACGCACCCCGGAGTCACCTTGGCGGGCGGGTCCCGACAGCCGCCGCAGCCCGGGGACCGGCCGGGAGATGCTCCCCGACTCCCACAGGGCTCGGACCCGGGTCCGATTGGAGGAAGTCGGGGAGGTGGCTCTGACCCGCCAGCCCGGCCGCGGCTCCCGCTCCGACACACCTGCCGGGCTCGGTGCGGCCCCGCCCGGGAGCTGTCAGCCGCCCGGAGCCCCGGCCCCGCGCCCCCGCCCCGGGTTCGCCCCCGCCGCGGCCTAGCGCCGCCCGCCCGCCCGCCGCCCGCTCACCTGCGCGGCCGCGCCGCCGCTCCCGCCGCCGGTCGCTCTCGTAGAAGCCCAGCGTCTCGGTGCGCTGCGGCGCCGGCGGGGGCCCGTGCCCGCCGCCCGGCTGCTCCGCCGCCGCCCCGCCGGCCCTCTCGGGGCCGTCCGCGCCCGCACGGCCGCCCGCCGCCGGCCCCGCGTCGCCGCCGACGCCCGCCATGTTCCGCGCGCACACCCGCCCCGCCGCCTCCCGCCAGGAGCCCGCCCGGCCCGCGCCCCCGCCCCCCGCCGGCCCCCGTGCCGCCTCGCCCCGCCCCTCGCCGGAGCCCGGGCCGCCGCCGCCGCCGCCGCCGCCGCCCTCCGCCCGCCGGCCGGCGCGCTCCTGTGGCGTCAGCGGCGCTGCCGAGGCCGCCGCCGCCGCCGCCGCCAGGGCGGCCGCCATCTTCTTCCGGACGTCGGCGTGGCGCGCGGGCTCCGGGGCGCCGGGCCGCGCGGCCGGGGACGGCGGGCGCCTGCGGGGCTCGGGGCCGGGGCCCGGCGGGGGCGGCCCGGGGGCGGCGGCGGCGGCGGCGGGCGCGGGGTCGGCGGGGCAGCCCCGGGGGGGCGGCCGCTGCGCGCGCTGCCCGCCGTCGGCGAGCGGCCCGTCCGGACGCCCGGACGCCCTTTTGCAGGCGCGGTGCCCGGGGTGCGACGGCGCCGCCCGCCCCGGCTTGGCAGCGGCCGCGCGGCCGTGGTGGCGGGGGCCGGGCTCGGCCTCCCCGACCCCCGCCGCCGCCGGGCCGGGCCCCGGGTGCCCGCTGTTCGGGCTCCCTCTCGGCTGCATCCTTACGGCCCCATGCCCGGCTCCAAAGCACTGGGCACTCGGGCCGGCGGCTCGCGGGGAGGCCGTCCAACAGGTGCGGGGGGGCGGGGGCGGGGGAGCGGGGTGCTGTGTGCTTTTCACGCGCCCCGGTTGGGATGCGGCTCCCGGCTGCAAAGGCTGTCTGTCCTCCGGGCTCGGACGGGGCACTTGGCCGCGGCCGTGTCCCCGCTCCATCACCCGCTTTGGAGAGGAGACGGGGAAGGGGGGTCACCGTCCTTTGCAGCTGTGCCATGTGATGGGGCACCCAGCGCGGGGCAGACCACCTGCCGCGGGTGCCTCCCAGTGAAGGTGGTGGGAGAGGGGCCGGGACCTTGGCCACCTGCTTCCCGCGTGGTTGGTTGCTGCGCCCTCCAAGGAGGGGGCCTTGGTGGGTCAATTTCCCGCATGCCAACTCCAGAACTCACCTGTGTCCCTGTTACCCTTTGAAAAAAAAACTTTAAAGAAAATACAAATTCTATATATATATATATTTTTTTTTTTACAGAGGGGAAAGGAGAGGGATAGAGTTAGAAACTTCGGTCAGCTGCCTCCTGCACACCTCCTACTGGGGATGTGCCCGCAACCAACATACATGCCTTTGACCAGAATCGAATCTGGGACCTCAGTACGCAGGTCCACGCTCTATCCACTGAGCCAAACTGGTTTCAGCTCTGTTACCCCCCCCCCCCCTTTAAAAAAATAATAAATCTTTATTGTCCAGATTATTACAGGTGTTCCTCTTTCCTCCCCCTCCCCCCCCCCCCATAGCTCCCCTCCTCTGTTACCCTTTTGATTAGGAAAAGGACACCGAGTTCCTGCCCGTACATTAAGCTGTCAGAACTCCCCTAGGCCCACACTGGAGAACCACATGTCAAGGGCCCGCCATAGAGCAAAACCCGAGTTCCTGTTGATCAAACACCCTGAGGGTTTTAACAGGAGTGAGGACCTCATGGCAAGCAGGAAACAGAGTGGCTGCTTTCTGGGCAGCACAATGGGGGCAGTGTCCTGACTACTGACGGAAGCACTGAGGGACCAGGATGGACTGAGCCCTGCAGCTGGGAACTGACCCTCAGTCCTCCCAAGTGAGGGAGGACCGGTTCACAGGATTGCATTTTCAAACCGTCCTGTGACCGTCCTCCATTAAATTCTCTGCCTTATACTTGGTCAAAGCTGAACCTTAATCCATCAAAAACAAACGTTTTGGGCAAGTCCTCAGTTACTTTGAAAATCAAAAGGTTCTGAAGATTGGATAGCCCCTAAGGTTGCTTACAGCTCCAATTCTATTCTCTGATCTGCTTTGGTGTAAAACCTAGCCCATCCCTAGGTATTGATTGTCAGGAAGAAAGTCGGGGTTTATCGCTTGTGTATGTCAGTTCCCCTTTACTGTTTCACCATGCTTATTGGCTTTTTGCCTCTGCCTTTAACTCAAAAGGAGCCAGAAAAGTGGGCAGGGGAAGGGGGAATCTGATTTTTTTTTTTTTAGGTATATGGTTGTAGGAATGATTTGATCTCATTTGCTATGTATGTCAGGCCTGAGGAAAGACATTGTGCACCAAAGGCTGTGCCTTTTTTTTTTTTTTTTTTTTTTTTTTAATGTATCTGTATTGATTTCAGAGGGGAAGAAGCATCAATGATGAGAGAATCATTGATCAGCTGCCTCCTGAACGCCCCCTTCTGGGGATCCAACCTGCAACCAGAAGGCATGTGCTCTTGTGCCCTTGACCAGAATGACCAGGAACCCTTTTAGTCTGCAGGCTGTTGCTCTATCCACTGAGCCAAACCAGCTAGGGCTGCTCCTGTCCTTTTTAAAGTAGCAGAGACAGGAAGGAGCCCTGTGCAGGTACTGAAAGTGTTACGGAGCAAAAGGAGCAAAGTGGAAATGGGAAAGCTGTAGTTTCTCATCAACCGGATCTTTCCAGCTGCACTATTTTATGGGACAGTTGGTGACACTGCACAGTGACACCCTCAAAGAAGCCACCGTGCTGAAAGGCGTTTTAAAAACAAACATTAATGTGAACAGTTTTCCCAGTTAACACTATTCTTCAGCTTATTGGATCTTTGAGTTAATTCAACCTATTGCAAGTTATTAATAATTTAAATAAGGTATTTTCTAATATAGTTGGCTGTAAGGAATTCTGAATTCTGGGATTCAACCAATGCTGGACTGCAAAATATTTGAAAAAGAAAGTTAATTCCTAAATGCCTTAGTAGAACAACTATTACATAGCTTTTACATTGCATTAGGTATTATGAGTATCCTACATGATGTAAAGTACGCAGAAGGATGTGTGTGGGTTATATGCAAGTTCTCTGTCATTTATATAAGGGACTTGGGCATCCTTGGATTTTGGTATCCGTGGAGGTCTGGAACTAATCCCTCGTGGATACCCAAGAACATGTCCCTATGTATTATAAATCTTCCAAATATTGTTACAATTAATCTTATGGTAAAAAAATAAATAAATAAATAAAAATACACAGCACAGGAAAGCCAGCAGTTCTCTGAGGAAAAACAGTTAAAATACCATAATGTTTTTTTATCTTTTATCAGTCTAGGCCTACATTGATAATACCACCATTAGGAAACAGTAGGAATATTTTTAAAATATGACAGTCCCCACCATTAAAGAGAATCAAATAACATTCTGAGTTAAGTTATAAGGTAAAAACAAGATTTGGATGACGATGAGCTATAGTAATTCATTTTAACCTTAATTCAGCAAATAGTGAGTGGTCTGTCAGCATGTCACTGTACTAGCTTCTAGGGAAAGAAATTCTCCATTGGTGGGAAATAGTTTCAATGAAAAAAAGTGATGAATGAGAATGAGAGCCTTAATAGAGAACAACAACAAAAAATTGAATGCATTAAGAAAGTTTTGTTTATAAGTTTATAAATGGACTTATATATTCAAAATTATATTTTAAAATGCATGCAAAATATGATTATATAAACTGAATGAAAAGTTCCTAACTTTATATTTTATTAAAGATTTAGTCATTGTGATTTTGAGACTAAACAGAATACATTGAACTCATTGAATATTAACCATGCACTCAAGTTCCAGAAAATGATCTTATGAAGCTTATAAACTCGCCCTCAGTGTGTTTCCTTGCTAAATGGGCCAATATCTATTCTGTAGTAGGAGCTGAAAAAGTATAATTTCTCTTCTGTCTCTACAAAGCCATTTCTCTTTTGAATAGCACTTCCCCAAAATATGTTTGAAATTAATTCCATATGCTTTTCCTGAATAAACACACACACACACACCACAACACATTACGGTAAGCACTTTGATGACTTGAGAGAACCCTGAAGGCTTGGACTCTGACTCTTCGATTGGCCTTCTTCCTTAAGGTAACATGTGTGTCCTCTCAGTGCTTCATTTCCTCACTATAGGATGTTGGACAGATCACCCTGGTGACCTCTTCCAAACTTTTGTAGTAATATCCTTGCAACCTACCTTCAGATTCTTGAACCCCTAGGTTAAAGTTGCTAGAAATGCCTATACTACGAATATTGGTAGGAAAGTGTGGTATCCTTCACTAGAGAATGGCTTTGCAATTGGGTCTGAAATAATGCCGGGAATCCAAATGCAGTAACACATCAAAGGTCTGTAAATGTTTAATGTGCCTTCTTTGTTATCTATGCATTCATTCATTCCTTTTGCATGAGAGCTGATGAGTTCTGATCACCTTTGCATTCCTCACCCAGGCCTCAGGATTTCTGCATTTTGAACAAATTTCCCATATTGTACCTTGATGCCTAAGTCCAAGCACACTGCCCTAAGGTGGCATTCACAGCATTGGAAATGGATTTGAGACAATTGCTGTGGTACACAGCTTCCTGAGTATAGGTTTGACCACTGAAGAGAATACAGTTTAGTCTATATTTCTCATTGGAAAATTATTTCAGCAGAACATGATTTCTGTTTTCTAACCCATAAATGCTATGTGTCTGATTCGCAAAAGGTTCTGAATTTAATTTATTCACCACTTTCTTTTCCATGAGGAAAATAGGAGTTGATAGTTTTTTAAAAACCTGAACAGCTTTGCAACTGATGTTCTAAATAAATCAAATATATCGCTGGGGCCAGAGCAAGCCTTTGCAGTAAATTTATGTGAGTTTATTGAACCTCTGAGTTGCAGTAATAATATTTTCTGTCCTTGGCAATCATTTTTGGACTGATATTCATTAGGTTTTATCTTGTTTGGGCTTTATTCCATGGATTTCTAAAAGCCATCAACTCAGGTTGTTTCTGGAAGATGTAGCAGAAATTGAATAATGTGTCTTTGATTTTCATGTACCTGTTACCACTTAACTAAAACAGTCATGAGTAAAATCTTGTTTCTAAAAGCATTTCTCTGGCACAAGAATATAT